CCAGGATCGTCAGTCCCGGAGATCGCCATAGGCTTCCTGTGGCTGCCAACGCTTTTCTGCTGATCTGTGGGTGAGATATCGGGCGAATCCCATGAGAACGTAGAAGAATATAAGCTATTCGAAGAGCCTTTGTTTGGCTGGTTGTGACCCTGTGATGCAGATCTAAAGGTAGTTAGCACTCGTGTTATCTCGACAAGAGACCCCGCCGCATCGGCAGACAACAGGAAGAAATGCTGGCACGGAATTTCATCCGACATCAAAACAACATGACCAGTAGAAGATGACAGAGTTCAAAGCCCCATTTCTGAAGGCGTTTTTAGGGCTTTTGACAGCCGGTAATCACTGTTCGTCAACCTCGCAGCGCAACCAACTGTACCTATTTCGAATTTCCAACAGAGACGCAATACCAGCAATTCAATATGGGAGAAAAAGGAATGGGAGAGAAATTGAGCTTCACACTGTTTCTTACCTCTCTAAGCCCGCAGATCCAGGAAAAGGAGAATTGCTACGACCATTCGACATGGCTGTATTGTATAGCTGACGAGGGTTTTGACTCTCCCTGACGGTCTCTTGCGACAACCAGCTGTTGGCCCCGGAGCTCTCAGCAGAACTGCGCCTTCTGTTCGAATGCTCGCTTCCGCGCAACGACATGCTGTTATATTATCACAATCTTGCGGGCCAGGAGCGAGAAATCAACCGGTTGTCACAGCAGTCGCGGGAGCCAACAACGAAACCACCATGAATGTGGTCGACAGGTTCGGAGGAAGCGATGAAGGAGGAGGTTGAGGAAGGATATTAGAGCTTGACGGGGACGTTGTACGGGAGGTGTGTGCGATCAAGATCGAGATGGTCGGATGCGATAGCAAGGTTCGTTTCGTTAAAAGTAGGGAATGCACAGAGCAAGATAAGCCATCGATTCGAATAGTGCTTGAAGGAATTAAGAATAGGCTTGGTCGTTATTTGCAGAGACAGAAGTATCGCAAAGCCGACTGAACGTAGCACAGGGTATATTTCGTCGGGCGCGACGGTGTCAAGACGGAAGGTCCTTCATGTTCTGGAGGGCGAGCGGTGGTGGTGGTGGAGGAACGTCATCACACGTTCCACTATGAAAAGCTAGGCAGTCAAAATAGACCGAAGAAATTAATGGAATATAAGTCAAAAAGCTCAAATAACATCAGACATGGATGAGGATCAAAGATGAATCAGGAAGGGTTGTCGCGTAGTAGGTGATATTCATTGATGGTCAGGGTATGTTAAACCTGCGCCAACGGCGGAGCAGCAGGAGTTTGACTGTTTGAGATTCGCTGAGCCTCCTAAGAGCTATTATTACCTTACTGTTAGCCTGAGGCTTAGGGGGAGATCGCGGCAGGTATGGTAAATACCTAAATACATTACCTAAGGTACACACTTGTTTGGGGAGTTACTGCGGGAAACCCTTAGAATAATTGAGGGGAAAGGGAAGACATGACTGTAATATTTCAACCAGCTACTATGAGGTAGGTAAGGTAGATACTTAAAGCTAACTTAGGTTATGGAGCACATATTACCTATGAAGGAATAAAGATTGCTACATAGCGTATAAATCTCCAAAAGAATATGGTATCTACTCAGTATTCAGAAAAATACCTCAAGAATGAATGTATCGTTCGTTTCATTGTCTGTACCCTGTACTCTACTTCACCCATGCCTTAACAGGAGCTGTCAGCCTTGAGGCGATTCCGGGGCCGGGTGGTCCGTGATGATGTTCGTGCTTGTTCTGGCCAGACGCGATGAACTCTTTGATACKGTGTTGACCAGTTCAGTGTCCTTTCTGATCTGTCTACTTGTCTTAGATGAGGTGGACGAGTCTTTATATTGTTGTAAATCATCGATAGATTTACACTCGTCAACTTCAAGGTCGCATATTCTGTCCACAAACGGGCAGCTTGCCTTTGGATATTCAAGGAATTGAAGCTTCATCTTCCGGAGACTTCCGTGCTACATAAAGCTTTTGGCTATAACATCTACGGTTTAAGCACGAGATACGGAGTAACCTAAATCACAATATGTAGAGTTATCTCTCAGTCAGGCGTTTGCCACTTTAGGGACACACGGGGTAAGTCAGCTGATCCGCTCACCTATCAACGCGCCCCCTACTCTCCGAACTTTTCTTGGTAGTGTCACCAGTTCTTTTAGCACTCCGAGACAGGCAAGGTGCTTCGGCTGGAGGGAATAATAGGCGTACATTGTCAGCCGCCAGCTAGATACCCCCGATAGATTCCTTTCCTCTTTCTCTTGCGCCCAGACTTCTCGAAACCAATTCAATCATGCAATACGCGTTCTTCCATTCCTTCGTATCTCCAGTCTTTATTTGGCCTCTGTTTCCGGTACCTGTGCGACAAGCCATCTGTCTTCGACTAGACTGCAACATTGTTCAAGCGAGCAACCAGCAGGCAAAAGGTTGATACATGAACTGGGACAACCAGGGGCTATGTTCAAGAGCGAACAAGTAACAGGGCAGGACCAGTATCATCATTAGAAAGCTCGTTCTCGGGTGGATAAAGTTCGAGCAAGGTCTAATTAGATTAGTGGAGCTTGCTAGCATTCTTGAAGTATGACCTATGCCTAGATGCTTGAAACCCGCTCCAGACCATGCGGCCTGGGTGACTACGCCTGCAGGCAAGCCCATTTCTGCATCTCCTTCCTTCCAACACTTCAATTATCTTGCTCTACTGAATAGCTGCTGTCCGCCGGGTAATGTATCTTTGCCACTACGGGTGGTTTATTCCTACGGCCATCATCGGAGGAAGCAAGTGAAGGTTTGGTCAGTCGGTGACGTTGAGATCTGGATGTATTACCAGTGTGGAATATCCGACCTGCCTACTGAATGATGTATAAAAATGCGAAGATTTAGATGGATTAGATTGTGCAAATTGGATTTAATATAGAGAAGAAGCCAGGGGATACGGCTTGTACACAAGTATTCCGGTGATGTTCCCGCGGATTCTTCAACCGATGCCGTAAGGCTGATGTTTCCTCATAAGCCATCAATTACAATAACATCCCAGTACTTTGACGAAGACATCTTTCACACGCAGAGTCTCCAGTTCTGCGTATGAGCAGATAGCAGCGGGATGTTTGTATCAAGTCAAAGGATCCCGCGGTCCTCAGTTCTCGAGATATATCTCCCACAGAGGCGACCATAGTGCTTCGTTATCGCTTCAAAACATACTACGACGGATCGTGTCTGTAAGGTATGAAGAGGATTGTGGCTTCGTAGGTTCTATCTGATTAGAAGAAGCGTCTGCCGGCTCTCGAAGTTGTTGATCTCCTCGGTTGCCTTAGAGTGCTTGCCTGTTATATTAGAAGCAGGTGTAGCATAGGTATCAGAGCATAGCATGTGGTGTGGTTGCCGAGTAACATTTAATCAACGCTCAAGGCAAATTGATGTTACCTTTGTGTACCCAGAAGAGGTGCTCGAGCGATTAGTTGAGGTCTACGGCGTCAGACATGGTCGCCAAGCATGGGGAAACCTGGCGAGCTTCCACTCATTTTCTATAGGATCAAAGGGGAACAATGGGCCCTCTTATATTCCTACACCTGGGGATACTCCAACATTGAATGGTAGTCACTATACCAGACGGTGACAGGTCTCTTGAGAGAATTCGTCAAATGACTCGTGTTCTGTACCTCGAATGCCTGCTGCATTTGGTGGTCTGTATGACAGTCATGGAAGGATCAGCAGATGCTGAATAAAATAATCTAAAAGATCGCGGAACAAAGGTAGAGCACAATGCATAGTCTTGATAACATGATTTTAACTAGACACGCGAAATCTCTGATACTGTGATGTGACATGATTAAAGCGTCATATCCAAACAAGATGTTTCTGAAAAAGAGGGGGCTGGGATGGGGTGGGACGATCAGGCGGTGTCGAGTCTGTTGACTATCGCCACGACTCTACTTGGTTTTAGGTTGATGATGATATATGGGCACTTCCTTTGTTGGTTCGTCCCACTTTGTCCTTCTACATATAATCTTGAGACGGCAGAGCTTCCTTCAACAGAAATGGAGTTGTTGACGGCGGAGATGATTGGTATAGACATCAGACCTATATATAGACCGTTATGCACTCGCACCTCTGGCACATGGATCGATTTCGTCTGGGTACTTCGGATGAAACGTGCACGGAGGCCATGGTTCTTGGTCGACAGATCATGAACAGCCTAAGGAGCTATCTATATTTGCGAATGGAGTATGGAATACGGAGCTCTCTGTACCCATACAGTGGTAGACACAATGTAGCACTAACAACTACATTTTGGTAGTTAGTGGATATAGGCGTGTCTCGGCCGATCTTGGCCCCTCATGTTTCAACCCTTCAACCTTGAAGTCTGGCCGCATAAAAGCTCCTGTCACGTGCGGGAGGGTCACCAATGGCCAATGGGCAATCTCCAGCCACAGAAAAAGCGCCACAGCTAAATGCTCGAGCCAATGACAGCTTCGAGAAGGAATGGAAGGGCAGGAACATTGTGTGGATCTGCAGCAGATGTGTGCCAGGTCTCCACTCGGCCGCCCGCTAACTTGCCCAAAAGGAGTAATATGATGATGACGGCAGAAGAAAGGAAGTGAGGAGGCTGGACTACTCACCTTCCTCCAAAGTGATCCCCATGCTGTCGGTCAGAAGCTTTCCTTCCCGCAGATGAAGGACAGCTGCAAAGGTGATAAGAATAGCCTGTTGCCTAGTCCTTGGTTGTTACTGCTGCTGTGGCAGTGAATTGTTCTTTCCTCTCAATGTATCATCTCGGTCAATAAGTGGACTATTTTGCTTCTTCTTCTTCTTCCTCCTTTCTTCCCTTCTCTCTCCTCTGCATACATCCTCCTGCTCGTACTACCTTGTTTCACATACGTACTATCTAGTAGCTTTTGCATTCTCATCTTCTCTGCTGTATTATCAGATCACCTTCAATCTTTTCTTTGAAATCCCATCAGTTCTCACCTTACCTCCCAAGCCTCTCACCATGAGATTGCCTCTCGTTGGTGTGGCCATCGGCCTGCTTTCTTCCTCTGCCGTCGTGACAGCTCAGACATACACTGACTGCAACCCACTGCAGAAGAGTGAGTTGTACCTTTCGAAAACTACTGTCCCATCGAATGATGCTGACATGTCAAAAAGCTTGCCCTCCGGATCCCGCTCTGGGGAGATCAGTCACCTACGACTTCACCAAAGGCGCGTCTTCCGACTTCAACCCAAATGGAAGCCCCACCTACGACAGCAATGGTGCTGCTTTCACTGTGGCCAAGCAGGGTGATGCCCCGCTGATCCAGTCCAACTGGTATATGATGTTTGGTCACGTCGAGTTCGTGATCAAGACCGCACCAGGCAAGGGCATTGTCAGTAGTGCAGTTCTGCAGTCTGATGACCTGGATGAGATTGATTGGGAATGGCTCGGAGCAAACAATCTGTATGTGCAGACCAACTACTTCGGAAAAGGAAACACTGGCAGCTACAATCGCGGCGCTGTCCATGACAATGCTGGAAACCAGGATGCTTTCCACACCTACACAATCGACTGGACGAGCACGCAGATTGTTTGGCAAATTGATGGCAAGACTGTCCGGGTTCTCACTGCTGAGACTGCCGGGGATAATTACCCTCAGAGCCCAATGATGGTCAAGGTTGGTGTGTGGGCTGGTGGTGATCCCAACAATGCGCCAGGCACAATTCGTGAGTGATCATCCCATTGCGGTGATAATATCGACTGGCGATATATGCTGACACCTCTTAGAATGGGCTGGCGGCCAAACCGACTACAGCGCGGGTCCTTATACAATGTACCTCAAGTCGCTCGTGGCGACCGACTACTCGACGGGTAAATCGTACACTTATAGCGACAAGAGTGGCTCGTGGCGGTCCATCACCTCCGATGGAGGTCAAATCAATGGTAATAGTGCCGCTGAGTCCATTTCAACTGTCGAGTCTGCCCCTCCTGTGACCGCGACAATTGACAGTGCTCCTATTCCTTTCAGTGGCACGCACCGTGAGACGTCGAGCTTTGTAACCCCGAGTATCTGGCCCTGGGTTCCCAAGCCTACCACTTTGTCGTCCTCTGTCGCGAAGCAGACGACTCTGCCCAGTGGCTGGACCTTTTCCGGATCTCGACAAGTCCAGCCGCCCAGTGCGGCTTCTGTGAGTGAGCATTACCCTTCATTTGCCTCTGCTGCTTTTTCGATTGAGACATGCTGATGCCTTGCTTTCGTTACAATATAGTCTACGCCCCTCTGTACATCATCTTTCTCGGCTTCGTCGCCGGTTTCATCTTCCCACTCCGGGCTTAAATCCAGTTCCGTCTCTTCGATCCCGAGTAGTTCAAGTGTGACAAAGTCGACCGGACATCTTGCTTCGACGACCACTTATCAGATTAGCACTTTTGGCTCGACTCTTCCCTCATTTTCCGCCTCGATTGCACATGTTGCCCCGACCGTTGCCGCGGCCAATGACCTGCTAGAGGCACCCGTCGGAATGGGCGTTTTGTGTGCGCTTCTTGGCGGCCTGATGGCAATCTTTTGAGTCGAGACTTCTTCAAAGAAGCAATGCACTCTATCACACTTACGATTGACGGCTACGGACATGAGACGATTGATTAACGAATGCATGACTTACACATGACGACGAACTGTATGTTGTATAGACACGGACTCCGCTGGCTTTGTTTTTTCCTTTTGCAATTTGGTTTTTTTCCTCTATCATTCAGGGATGGGAGCGTTTCTTTTCTTCTCTATAATTCTTGCACAGCGTGGGGTCACAACTTCATTTGCCTTGGCGCACTGGGTGATAGTGTTCGCATCGATCCTCTATCCGGATTGGAAGGCTGATCGAGTCCACCACCCGGCTTGTTACTTTCTGTATTGTTTATTCTCCGGCGAAAAGTGTTTATAGACTAGACAGCACCCGATACTAATTCGTGATACGATATTAACTTCCCAAGAACGGATAATGTCAGCCTAATCGGTTTCTCTGCTGCTCTACAGAGAGATCGACTGGTACTTAACTACAATTATTCCTTTTGAAGTATATCCCTGGGACCTGCCTCATTTTGATGTCAGGCCTGCTCATCCTATGGGAGTACATCCCGAAATTAGGTAGACGGACCGCAATTTCCGTTGTGAAGTAGGTATGAACATGTTTATTTATTGGGAATGACATCACGTCAAAGGGTCGCTTCCACGAGGTTATGATCCTAGGTGGGTGTTGTGTCCGACAGCACACGAACAATATCTTGGAACTGTCCTCTCCAGAGCTATCCAACATCGCCCTGACAGTCTATCTGCTTGCATTTCATCCAAAATGAGTTCCCGTGTATTCTTGATTCGTCATGGTGAAACCGAAGGGACACGGGGGATGGAGCATATCAGCACCACCGACCATACACTATCCACAACTGGGGAGAAACAAGTCGAAGTGACTAGGGAGCAGTATGTGGGTGAGGGCAAGTTGATCGACCCCAAAAGGGTTACACGCATGTAAGGCCTCTGCTGCCCACTTTCGCCGCCATCATGCGCGTGAGAACTGGAAGCTGAAGGAGAATTCCAACACCAGATACATCACTCCAAGGAGACGAGATCGTCAGACGTGTGAAATCCTCCGTTTGGGAGTGCACCAACATCAGCACTTCTACGATCGAACCACCAAGCAGACGACAACGACAGCGATCCCTCCTGTTACAGGCGAAATAGCCGAGGCGACGATCCAGATCACTCCCAGCCTTGGTGAGTGGGACTACGGCGAGTACGAAGGGCTGACCACAGACCAAATCCGTGAGAAACGCAGGCAAGGGGGCCTGGATAAGGACAGCCCTTGGTCGATCTGGGAGTCTGGCTGTCCTGGAGGCGAGTATGTCTTCTTTCTTTCCGCTCAGGGCACTGCATATGGTTCCAAAGAACATGGCTGGAGGCTGACTTGTGTCTTAGAAACCCTCAACAGGTCACCGATCGACTTGACGAGCTGATCAGGGAGATGAGAGAAGTCCTTAAGAGTACTACTGCCTCCTGGCCGGGAGGCCGGATGGTCCCTCATGTGAATGAGGAGCCTCGGGATATCGTTTGTGTTGGGTCTGGTCAGTCGCTGGCTGCGTTGGCTATGCGATGGGTCGGGCTGCCTTTGAAGTGTGGGGTGAGACTCCTGTTTGAGACAGCGGGCGTGGCTGTACTCGGGTATTTCTTTGCTTCCTTCTGCAGGCGGGAGCAAAGGCTAGGCTAACGATAAAAATAGGTTCGAGGATGAGGACTTGAATCAACCGGCTATCATCCTAGGACGGATGCCTGTGGCTCGTTAGTTTGTATGCTAGATAAGATGACACAGTCTTGGTTCCTTAGATCTTATCAACTTGACCGTTTAGATCGTCTAGATTATCTCTGGTTTCTGGTATATAAAAGCCATCATATCATTTCTGTTCTACAAATCTATTACACATTCAGAGCACCACCGCGGCAAGCAGCCATGGAAGGCCAATTTGGTGACAGAAAATGGCTCTTCTCAGCTGCTCTGGGGTCGATGTCACGGCAGACATCTCGATTCTCCGATGTTCGTGGAAGGACATCAACCGCACCATGCTCCTGAGGCGCAATGTCCGCCCTGGACTCTGTTCAGGGAGAGTTTCTTTAACTGATGGAGCTCACTCACATGGAAATCCTTGCTTGCATGCCTGGCTCAACCTCCTTGACAGCTTTCCAGGAATTATGGCACCGCTCAATAAGCGAGAGAGTATACCTGCATCGTCCGTGATTAGACCACGGCTCTTCGTATGAGCAATCAACAAATCATAGAGAGATGCCATACTTCTGATTCTGCAGCTCCCCATTCGCACCAAGAACGTTCTCCTCCTTCCCCTCGGCCAGCTTATACACCCGGAACCATTCCTTGATTGTGTCCAGATACCCTGGCATCAGCGACTCGACGTCCCCGATGTCACTCAGCTTGTCCGCCTCGGGATTCTCCAAGTCAACAACAAAGACCTTCCAGTCTGTCTTGTTCTCGTTGATGACGGCCAGCGAACCGAGGACTTTGACTCGTTTGACCTGTGCTGGACGCGGCATTGCGCCTCCCAGCTCACAGACAGCGAGCGGGTTCCCGTCCGCTGGGAGGCGAGTGAGGGGGTCGTCCATGTCGGGATCTTGGTATGTCTATTCCATTCTCTATCAATCTGTGGTTTTCTCAATTGAAAGTATGGAAGCGAGCGTACCTGGGGCAGCATCCCATAGTTGAAGGGGTACCCTTTATGCGGAAAGATGTTGGGGACGTACTTTAACCGGCCCTCCTGGATATCCTGCTTGAGAGGATTGAGGTACTCGTCTTTTGCGATCTGTTTCCGTCATTTTCATTAGTTCAATCGCTCAATTATTCAATTCCACTCAATGCTGTCAGAGAAAGGAGAGAAGACTACCTCCATCTTCGCATTCCACCACCTCGGCACCTCGACAACCATATGCACCACTGGCTCGCGGCCACTGCTTGGGTACAGAGCCAGATCATGCCAAGGGGAGAGGAGCTTGTCCTTGAGATTGAAGTAGACGCGGTACTCCTTCGTCAGGGGTTTGCCGACAGGGCGGAGGACGTAGTTTTCCACGAAGTCGGATTTGGTTTCGTAGGTTGGTCTGTTTGATTCTTCTTCAGTCTTGTACGGGGCCATTTTGGAAGCGGTATCTGTTGGCTGTCCTTTTGCAAGATATGAACCTAGATGGTGATTACGGGTTAGGGTTATGTGCTATACTAGGTACTTCATCCGTAGATTAAGGTCCTTTACACCGCTTGATGATTATGAAAGTAGACTACCTTTCTGGTGAGGATTATCCAAAGGAGAATCATTGTCACAGTGACGTCTATAATTGAAAACCTCGAGTCGATGAACAAGAATGACGATGTTGTCCATTGTGTAGATAGCTCCCTCCCTGCCTGCCTTGCTTCATGATGATATGATACCCATCGGACCTGATTTCCGGTCGAATGAACCTATTCGCCAGAACGACGACTCAAAATGTGTTTTACGCTAAGTCTAGGCCTACCACTACTCAGGATCCTCGGTAAGTACCATAAATTTGTTCTCGATTCACAACACGGATATCCTCGGCTCCATCGCTACTTTACCCCTGTGCCCGTTGCTTATAGTCTATACCCCAGACTAAGCTGCCCATGCAGGACGACGGATCGGGAGTATTGGCATGTCAATCGAAAGATACCTACTTCTGGGGAAAATGTACTTGCAGCGGCAGACAGTTGCCGGGTTGGGGCTGATTTCCGTCGCTGAGGCGCGGCCCTGCTAGTTCTTACGTGGTGTGATGGTACGGTGCCATTGGGAGTGAGTTTGACATGGGGTTGATTGGTTTGACTGCGAGAATGGATATGGATTGTATGCGATGCATATATCACGCGACGAGGTAGACATCTGCTAGAGACTTGATAATAATAGAGTTATTATTATTGATGATAATAAATTGCTTGATCCTAGCAAGTTCACATGCATTTCGCAATAGAGTCCGTTACACGCCGGGTGTCTCCTGTGCGATCTCTTACATGACTTATGGCCACGCTCTATGTAACGAGCCAGAGGCTAGAAGGCTGAGGTGTTCGAAAAGAATACGACATTTGACATTTCCATTTCACTAACAGTGTGGAGTACATGAAGCGTTTTTGTATCACACAAGGCCGTAACCATCGTTTTAACATATATGCTAGCCCCAAGAACCATCCAATCGTGTTTTTCCTTCAAAACGTGTCACATAAGCTCGTTAATCATCATGCTACTGCCCGTTATACTTGGCTCTGCGAGTCAATCGATTTTTTCTCCACTGGCTGTATCAGCCGCCGTAGGCCCGCATATGGGGTGTTCACTGGGCTATCTGTCCCCGTGTACAGGAACATATCGTACATCCATCCGCCGAATGTGCACCCTATGAATGGTGCTACCATGGGGATCTGCGATAGAGTTGTTAGTCCTTCACGCCAACAGTCATCATACTCAATAGAGCCAAGGCATACCCAGAAGTAATAGTTCCCCGCCCTCCAAACGTCGGGGCCGTATCCGATCATATAGGAAACCAATCTGGGTCCGAAATCTCGAGCGAGGTTGATGGCATACCCAGTCTCCCACCCAAAACATGCGCCAATGCCAAATATCACAAAGAAAAGCGCAAGTGGGGTAAGGGGACCGGCCCCGATATTTCCATCGTCTTTCAGAGCAAATATCATGAACATCAAGATGGAGCTGGCGATAAACTCCGAGAAGAATTGTCCCGTCCTGGTCATGAATTCCGCCGGGTAGGTACAGAAGATACCCGCGGTGGCTGTACTAGAATACCCAGGCACTGTCCGGATGTTTGCTCCCCCTTCGAACTGATCGATGGCCGATCTGTAATTGCCGTAGACAATGGCTGCTCCACACATAGCTCCCAGTAACTGGGCAATAGCATAGACGGGGAATTTTCGCCAGGGGAATTTGCGAAAGACGCAGTTTGCAAAGGTCACTGCAGGATTGATGTGTGCTCCGGAGATGCCACTTGCGTAGACACCCAACA